GACTGTTCTTGGAGTTGGGTTCCCAGTAGGAATGAGCTTGCAATTCCTTCTTGACCTAGGATGCCCAACTTGTATAAATGCATGGCTTTTCTTCACTCTTCTTCACATCGCAAACTTAACTTCTCTACTTTCTAGCTTGAGAGAGATCTTGGAGAATTTGTACTGCTTGTCGAAGAGAGGAGTCGCCGTGCATCCCAAGATAAGTCGAGCTTGTATATTTCTTTTTCTTCATCTTTTCTTGTTGTTTGCTTTGAGGATCAACTAGGGGAAGCCCGGCTAGTTGTCGTCGTGACAGGCGACGGCTGGTAGTGGGCGGCAGCTGTGGTAGAGTAGGTGCATGTAGGTGGACCAGCTATTGCCTATCGTCGCAGGTCTGGGCTGAAGCATGCTTGGTCTCATGCGTTGCGGGCCTCGTCTGCTGGGCGAGTATCGGGAGGAAGTTGGTGGTCTGCCCCCTGTCCAGGATGTTTGAGAGATGGAAGTAGAATGGTCCAAACTCTGATGATCTACCCAAAGAAAGGCTGATGTCAAGTCTTCAAGAAATGGAGTTGCGACTTCGCGTGCGAATGATGTGTCTCCGTTGAGGAAGAAGCCAAAGCTCCCTTATACTGAGAAGACTCAAGTAGGAGCTGTTCCCCCGTCATCTGCTAAGGTTAAACATCTCGTTGGTGCAGATAACAGGAAGGTTGGTGGTATGTGCAGTGCTCGGGATGTTCTACTCAAGCCTCCTTCTGATAAGCTTGGAAATCGTGATCTGCTCCGTGACGTGGTCCGCTCGCAAACTAGTTCACCTGCCCAACTCTCGCGATCTAGTTGTTGAGTCACGAGTAGTCGAGCGTAGAGTTGATTCAGCATCGTCGACTCCTTTGGGGGTGAGGATGGCGGCGGCTGAGAAGACGAGAAAGTCATATGTCCAGGTGAAGAATTCTTTTACAATGTCAGTAGTTGATCCCAAGGTGGAAAAGTCCAACCTTGCAGGGGGTGCAGGTGTGTTTGATCTGCTGAAGATGAACCGTCTATCAAGTCCGTCTGCTTGCTTCAAGCTAGTTGATCATATCCATCAGGCTGGTGATCTTGACACAGTCTCAAGTCTTTCCTTGGAAAAACAAAGGGAAGCAACATTTCATCTGCTTCAAAAAAGAATAGATTTTGCTGTTGAAACTATCCGAAACTCGTCTGCTGTTGCCCCCTCTTCTGCTGCTGACTTGGTTAGTCGAAAAGATGCCTACTTCCGTCTTGAGCACAAGAATGCTGACGTCTCCTTTAGTTATGACAAGCTTCTAGCTAGATTTGGGGCATATCATAAGTCTGTTGAAAAGTCCAAGTTCGAAGTTACCATGAATGCGTACAAGTTGGCCTACTTAGACTGTTTAAATAGAAATGATCCCTTCTATGCCATTGGAGATGGAGACATCGAGATGCTCTGTTCTGACTTGCTCCATGTGAAAAGTGAGCAGGTTAATGCTGTGAACATGGAAGGAGCTGAAGAGCAGGCGGCCAAAGAGGCAGTAGCTGAAGAGGATGGAGCAGAGGAGGATGCAGCAGATGAGGTAGTGGCAGACGTCGCGGATCCAGCAGGTGGAGCTGCTGAGAACGTGGCTGATCTGGCGGACGCCGAAGAGGCTGTAGACCAAAGAGGGTGTAGATCAAGGATCTCATGCTGGCGTCTCAAAGTAAATGAAGACTCCTTTATTTCTTTTCACCTTGTAATCTGCTTTCTTGTTTAGAATAATTAGTATTGTCTGACCATCTTCTTTTTGTTGAACTTGGTAAGTGCCAGGGTCCCCCTTGAGGGACTCCGGGCGTGTTCTGCGTATCTCGTAGGATGTTCTTCCCTTAAGAAATTAGCGAGGGCCAGGGTCCCCCTTGAGGGACTCTGGGCGTGTACTGCACATCCCGTAGGATGTTTTGGTCGTTGCCCTACGTCTCCCGAAGGACGCTGCTTATGGGCAACTATGTGACTATCCTGCCTCCCTTAGGAAACGGATAGGAACCTGGATACTTCCCGCAGGAGGCATGAAGACCTCCTTTTAAGAAATTCCTGGCGCACCCTGCGTCTCCCTTAGGACGCTTCTTGGCGGGCTGCGTCTCCCGAAGGACGCTTCTGGTTGTCGCCCTACGTCTCCCGAAGGACGCTGCTTATGGGCAACCGTATTTTGTTGTGGCACATTCTGGAATTTGCCGTAGTTGCTTCTCTTCTTCAGAAATGTACAGGGCTCAGACATCTGCTTGTTTATGCATTGTGAGTCATTGTCGGTAACTGGTGATTGTGGGCAGCCAAGCTGACATATGATGTTTCTTTAGATGAATCGTTCCACATCGGCTCTTTAGTAGAGGATAGAGCTTCGGCCTCGATCCATTTAGTAAAGTAGTCGGTGTCAACGATCATCATGTCCTTCTTGACAGGCGTCGGTGGCAAGGAACCCACTAGATCAATGGCCCATTGCATGAATGGCCATGGACTGTTTTGCGGATGGTAGACTTCGGCAGGCAAGTTAGGAATTGGCTTGTATCGCTGGCAGCGATCACATTTCTTGACATATTCGGTGGAGTCGTGGCGCATGGTAGGCCAGAAGTAGCCTATCTTTAGAGCTTTCTGGGCGAGTGATTTGCCCCCAGAGTGGTTGCCACACTCGCCGTCGTGAATTTGAAAAGAACCTCAAGTGTTTGAGGGTATTTTATGCAGGTGAGATGAGGCCCGGAGTATGATCTGCTAATGAGCTTGTTGCCGTGCATATAGTATCTCGCAGCCCTCTGCTGGATTTTTCTGGCTTCGGACTTGTCCGTTGGTAGAGATCCATTCATCAAGTAGTCGATGATGGGGTCTTGCCAACTGGGATCCTCGTTGATCTGCATTGTGTTGATCGACTCTGTTTCTTCGATGCTTAACTGGTCAAGGTGTTCAACGGGATGGAGCGTCTGAACTGGGTATCCAGCGCTGATCCTAGGCTTGCCAGTGCATCTGCATGTGCGTTCTCTGCCTGGGATACCTGTTGGATGGTGAAGGTTGGAAACGCCTTCAATAGCTCTTAGACTTTGGCAAGGTACAAGATCATCCTTGGGTGCTTCGCCATGTATTCACCTGACGCTTGATTCGTGATCAACTGGGAATCTGAGTAGATGGCTAGCTTCTTGATAGCTAGCTCCTTCACCAAGCGCAGGCCAGCGAGTAATGCCTCGTATTTTGCCTCGTTATTCAAGGCCGGGAAACCAAGCGTGATTGCTTGCTCCACTAGGGTTCCATCTGGGGTGATGATGATGACACCTGCTCCTGCTCCTTTTTGGTTCGACGCTCCGTCTACGCGTAATTGCCACATGTCTATAGGTTGGCCAGGTTCGGCGGAGGTGCCGCTGCTTTTGACCTTTCCTTTTTACTGTTGACCAGCTTCTCTTCATCGGCTGATGGGGTGAATTCTGCCACGAAGTCTGCTAAGGCCGGGGCTTTTATTGCAGTTTTTGGCCGGTAGAGGAGGTCATACTGGCTTAGTTCTATAGCCCACTTCATGAGTCATTGAGAAGCATCAGGGCTGTGGACGATTGATCTCAAAGGAGAGTCGGTCATGACGATGACTCGGTGAGCTTGATAGTAAGGTCGCAACTTTCTTGCGGAAACTACAAGGGCCAGAATGAGCTTTTCCAATTTCGGATAGCGAGTCTGCATCGAGGAGAGCTTTTGACGTGTAGAATACCGGATGTTGGGCCCCCAGTTCTTCTTGGATGAGAGCCGAGTTGACGGCCGAGTTGGACACTGCCAGGTACACAAACAAGTTCTCACCAGGAACTGGTTTTGAGAGCAGGGGAGGTGAAGTGAGGTAAGTCTTTAGATTTTGGAAAGCTATTTCGCACTCCTCATCCCACTTGTCTCTTTGCCATTTCTTCAAAGCTTGAAAGAACGGTCTGCACTTGTCGGTAGATCTAGAGAGGAATCGGTTGAGGGCCGCTGCTCTGCCCATCAAACTTTGTATTTCCTTCACTGTGGAAGGCGACTTCATCTCGAGAATAGCCTTAATTTGGCGTGGATGTGCCTCGATACCTCGTTGCGTGACTAGGTATCCCATGAATCGGCCGGACGATACACCAAACGTGCATTTACTTGGATTCAGCTTCATGCGATATTGGCGGAGCAGGCTAAATGCTTCAGCGAGGTTTTTGATGTGATCTGAACGCTTGGGGGCTTTGACCAGCATGTCGTCCACGTTGACCTCCATAGTTTTGCCGATCTGTTCCTTGAAGATTTTATTCACAAGTCTCTGGTAGGTTGCTCCAGCATTCTTTAGACCAAAAGGCATAACCTTGTAGCAGTAGGTCCCTCTCTCGATGATGAAAGAGGTTTTTGCCCTGTCATCCTCGTGCATCAGGATTTGATTATAACTGGAGTAGGCGTCCATGAAGCTGAGCAACTCATTGCCGGAGGTGGAATCCACGAGTCGGTCAATTCTCGGCAATGGGAAGTTGCCTTTAGGGCATGCCTTGTTGAGGTCGGTGTAATCGACGCAAACTCTCCATTTGCCCTTTTCTTGTTTTGCTACCAGCACAACGTTGGCCAGCCACTCTGAGTAGGAGACTTCTTCGATGAAGTCGGCCGCTAGGAGTTTGTTGATCTCGGCTTCAATGATCGCGACCCTCTCGGGAGCGAAGTTGCGTCTCTTCTGGGCCACTGGCTTGCTAGCAGGGTTGACGTGGAGCCGGTGGCAGATAATGTTCGGGTCGATGCCGGGCATGTCAGATGGCGACCATGCGAACATGTCTTTGTTGTTCTGGAGGAAGGTGGTCAGCTCCACCTACTCGTCTGGGCTTAGGCGCCAGCCGATCCGCAATTTTCTGTCTGGCTGGTCAGGATCCAAGGGTATTAGCTCGACGTCCTCTTCGGGTTTCCATCCTTCTTCTGGGGAGACCTTTGGATAGATTTCCTCGGCTTGGTCCTGACCCTTTAATTGCTATAAATGAGCGAGATTCGTTTGTTCAACTTCCTTCAGATCTACCTGATTCACAGGGAGGAACTATGTTAGCTTGCTTTTCTTCAGCCCTTGAGCCGAACATTTCCTCGCCATTGCCTGGTCGCTGTTGATCTGGCCGACTCCGCCCCCAGGAATTAAGTAGCGGATTTTCTGATGTGTGGCAGAGGTGATGGCGTTGATTTTGCCGATCCATGGTCTGCCCAAGATGCCATTGTATGGTGAGACTTCATCAATGACCATGAATGTTTGTGAGCTGATTACAGGTGGGGAGTAGACGTCAAGGTCTATCGTGCCCACGGTAACCGTTGTTGCACCATTAAAGCCAGTCAGCGATCTGGCTGATTTGTTGATCCTCGCTTCCAAGCCCATCTGTTGAATGACTGCCAGCTGCAAGATATTAGCTGCGCTGCCCTTGTCTGTATGGATTCGGTCGACCATGGCTTGAGTGATTTGAATGCTAATGATAAGGGCGTCGTTATGTGGCATGTCGAGACTGATTAGGTCTTTCTTCTGGAAGCTGATCACAGGGTCGTCTTCTGCTGGTAGAAGACCGGTCGTGATTTGGGAGATCATAGTGGCCTGTTTGATCTTCCTCTTCTTTTCTTTGCTTGTCAATCCAGACTACTTGGAGTCGGCTAGGATTGTGTTAATTCTTATGACTTTCTGAGGTGGTTCCTTGGCGGTATCCCGATCTTCAATATGCTGGATGGCCTGCTTTGCAATGAATTCCGTGCAGTGACCTTCTCTAACGAGTTCTTCAAGATGCGTCTTCCAGGCAAAGCAGTTGTTTGTAGTGTACCCGTTCGTCCCATGGAAGACACAGTATTTCCTTATATCCCTCTTGTCTGGATCTCCTTTCAAGGGTGGCGGTCTTTTTACCCAAGGTTTGTCTTTCACTTGGGCTAAGATTTGATGTATGGGGATGGAGAACTTTGTGCAGTTCTCTCCTGCCGTAGCGTCCTCTTATGGGTGTGACCTGCTTTTGTCCTTGTTTTTGTTGCTAAACCCGTCGCTTCTTTGGCCTGCCCGCTTAGACGGCTGATCTTCCTGCTTAGTAGACTTCTTTGCGGCGATTCGATCATCATCCCAGAGCGCATAGCGTTCCGCGGTCACGAAGACCTCTGCCAGAGTTTGGCTGGGAGCAATAGCCTGCTCGCGGTATAAGTCGTGTTCAGCTGGAAGGCCTTTCTTGAAAGCAGAGGACGCGATTCGGTCGTCACACCCTACAATGTTGGCCTTCTCTGCTTTGAATCTCTTGATGTAGTCTCAAAGGGATTCGTCAGACTTCTTGCGTAGGTTGAACAGATGGTTCGGGTTCTTCTTAATCATTCGGTAAGAGGTGTACTCTTTGGTAAAGACTTAAGCCAGCTCCTTGAAGCTGCTGATTGACCCGGATGGTAGAGTGTGGAACCAGTCTTGGGCTGCTCCTCGCAAGGTCATTACAAACACCTTGCACATCAATGCGTCGTCGGTCTTGTGAAGGATCATGACATTTTTGAAGTATTTTAGGTGACTTTCGGGATCGGAGTCCCCTTTGAAGTGGGTAAACAAAGGCGTCGAGAATCGCTTCGGGGGAGCAGCTTGCTCAATCTCGGCAATGAAAGGCATAGAGTTTGCCTGGTCCATGTCCTTGCGTAGTGCATCTTCGAAGTTCCCGCCGATCCTCAAGTCTCGAAGTCGGTCATTCACAAGCTTCTCAACGTCTTCCGCACGCATTGCTAGTTGGTTATGTTGGCGACCCTCGCGATTTAGGCGACACTGATCAACTTCCTCATTGACTCGCAAGGTTCGATTTTCTCGGCTGTGTTGCCTGGGCGGCGTAATGGTGGACTGCGCATGCGAAAGGTTTTCTGTAGCTTGTCGATGAGAATCGACTCTTCGAGACTGAGCAACGGAGCGCCTTTCCTCGTGATCCACATTGCGAAGGCTATTAGGTTGACGTCCCTGGGAGCCTAGCCTTTCATGAACGTTCCTCTGTGAGTGGTCAGCGAAGCGCCTTTCTTCATGATCCACATTGCGATGGGTGTCAGGTTGACGTCCCTGGGAGCCTAACCTGTGAAGAACATTTCCCTACGGGCCCAGTCGGGCGCGGATGTCAAGTCGTGGGCCCAACCTTTCACGCACGTTGCCAAACTGATCACGTTGTTGTCCCTCTCCTTGTCTGCTTGCTCCTGCTCGACCTGCTTGGTACCCATCGAGCTGCCTATCGGCGCGTTCGTCAATCCTTCTCTCTTTGCCCAGTTGTCCAAGGCCAAGGTTTTGAACCAGATTGATTTGGTTGAGGAGTTGCCTCATCAAATTGCTTTGGTCGTCCATTCTCTGAGCTAGCTGGTCAACTCTCAAATTGAGGTCTGCTTGACTTCGTGGATCGGGAGGAGAGAAGTGTGTGGAGCCCAATTGCATATGGGCTAGGGTTTCATTGAAGGTGTGCACGGGAGCGTGTGTCGAGCACCAATTTGTGGGTGGAGTGGCTTTGGGTCATCGTGGATCGAGCCATCGCGGCGATTTTGCCTCTCGTCTTCTTGCTTCCAACCATGGTTGTTTGGAAGGCTTCAATGGATTGGAAAAGTGTGGAAAATGGATTTAGAGCACGCTTTGAGTATAACTTGTGCTCTCAATGAAAGCACCAATTTGTGGGAGCAAATTTCCTCCCACGAGAATATTCCGTTGAAAGATTCCCCTTTCTTCTTCGCCGCCTCTTTCTCCCTGCAAAATAAATCGGATAAGAGGACCACACCCGGGGGTGTTGGCCAAAGGCCCTCCGATGCCTAAGTTAGTTCAATTGATTTAGGAAAAAACCAATAGCTAAATAGGGTACAGAGATATATATGTAAGGTGTAAACCGGGTGGCCGGAGCCTTATGTAAAAGAGAGAGAGAGAGAGAGAGAGAGAGAGAGAGAGAGAGAGAGAGAGAGACCGAGAGAGAGAGAGAGAGGAGGTGGCTAGGATTTGTGAAGGGAAGAGCTCTCTAGAGTTTTAGTAGAAATTCTGACGTACCTCATTCCCTGTGCATGGCCAAGTATTTATAGGGGGCCTTGACGAGGTTGGTGAGGTTGGCGTGGTTGGTGAGGTAGGTGAGGTTGGTGAGGTTGGTGTATTTAGGGATTTGATTAATTAGGGATTTAATCAAATCCCTAATGGTGGTAGGTGAGGTTGGTGGGGTTGGTGTATTTAGGGATTTGATTAATTAGGGAGATTAATCAAATCCCTAATTGTGGTAGGTAGGTGATTAATTCCCAATCTGATTAGGTAATTCCTCATTTAATTGGGAAATGTGGTATGAATAAAATCGGTTTTTAACTTAATTAGGTATTTCTCAATTTAATTGGATAACCCCCAATTAAATTGAATAACCCCCAATTAGGTTTAGTAATTCCCAATTAGGTCAAATAATCCCCAAATGGAAGGAATTATTCGACCTAGGGTTCTGATTTAATTTGGTCTCCACAATAGGAATAAAACATCGCTGTGGACTAGTGAAGAATCATGTGTAGGAGGAGTAGACAAAAAAAATGGATGGTCCCCAAAGAATGGTTCAATTAAATCAGTGCGTATGCATGTGTGATAAGTTTACACTCAAGAAATGACAAATTATATGTAAATCACTGGGAAGTTTAAAAAGAAAATGGTAAATACCTTTGGATCTAACATGAAGCACATGGCATCGACCAACTTTTCAAGCGAGAATTCATCAGCCGGAATGGGTGCAGGACCTACTCCTTTGGCATGCACCCCCTCCCCCCCAAAATGGATGGTCCCCAAAGAATGGTACAATTGTGGTTGGACACTAAAAAGAACACGGAATAGAGTAACTGAATCATTTACAAATGTAAGACATTATTTACAATTGTGATTTTTATTAAAATATTTAATGCTAATTATTCCCTAAAGAAATAGTAATTAAAACGTAATCACTAATGAAAGTATTTAAACAAGGTTAAGATATTATTTAATGAATAAAAAAGAAAATTTTAAAAAGGATATTTTAAAAGTATAGCCGACCGGCTATACCCTTTGAATGGCATAATCTTGATTTCTCTTTTTTTAATTACTATTTACTTAGTGAATAATTAGTATTTAAATATTTGATAAAATAAAAAATAATAATGACTATTTATGAAGTTAATTAAAGTATTTAATTATTCACTAAAGAAATAATAATTAAATAAGTCTAAGATATTGCTCGCAAGTTTGAAGGACTGGAGCATTTTAAGAAGGCTTTTTATCACAAAACGTCCCTGACGTTTGTGAAACTATCAGATTGCATCCTTAAAGTTTTTTTGTATCACTCATGGTCCCTAACGTTAATATGAGTGCTCTTAAATAGTCCCTCCGTCAAAAAAACTGTTAAATCCAGGGATAAAATCGTCAAATCTGTATTGCTGAAATTTTCCTTCCTTTTATTTTTTTTTGCTTCCATCTCTCTCTCTCTCCTCTTGCACTTCTCTATCTCCAGTCCTCTACCCAAGCTTCTCCCTCCACAACACTCTCTTCCCTGTTGCTTTCATCCATGGCAATAGCATAACTTTTCCTTCTGTTATTTTTTTTTATATAATGGTTTTGGCTGAGTAAGCATTGATGTCTGACTAATTTATGGTTTTGAGTAAGGAATTGGTTTATTTTTATTTTTTTGGAAAGCCGAAACAAGTTAGGAAAAAAACAATAGAACATAAAAGAAAAGAAAGGAAAGGAACAGAAAAGAAAAAAAGAAAAAGGGAGAAAAGAAAACAGCAAAACAAAAGAACCAAAGCAACAACCCAAAATGGTGGAAGAGAAAGGAATAAGAAGGAAAATACAGCAACCCAAATGCTCCCCACCAGAAACACCCAAAGCCCCACAGTCAAAATCCAAACCCCCAACAAACTCTCCAAACCCAGAAGAAAGCAAACAACTGTGGAGAGGAGAGAAGAATAGGGAAGGTCAAAGAGAAGGGAAATTAGAAGGAGAGACAGAGGAGGAGCTACCGTAAGAAATGGGAGAAGAGAGGAGATGGAAGGAAAAAAAGAAAACTTCAGCCACGCAGATGGGGGAAGAAATGAGATTGGAAGAAGAAAGGGAGGAAGGAGACGAAGAGTGCGAGAGAAGGGAGGGAGATGGAAGGAAAAAAAATTAAAATAAAAGGAAGGAAAATTCAGCAACACAGATGGGAGAAGAATTGAGAATGGAGGAAGAGAGGGACAAATCTCCCTCTAGACGTATATATACATTCATATATATATTATAATTTTGGATTGATTTGACGATTATATCCCTGGATTTAACAGTTTTTTTGACAGAGGGATTATTTAAGAGCACCCATATTAACATTAGGGACCATGCGTGATACAAAAAAACTTTAAGGATGCAATTTGATAGTTTCGTAAACGTCAGTGACGTTTTGTGATAAAAAGCCTTTTAAGAATGATGAACACCCACAGTTTTGGTTGATCCAGGCAGGAAAAAAAGATGAAGAAAGAATAATTTATTTCTTGGATCTTATTATTAGTATCACACATTTTATTTATTTTAATACATGCACAAATAGAAATTAGGGAGTTTCACTAATATACCCAAAACATGAGTTGAAATTATAAAAAAACCCCATATGAAATGCACTTTAGAAACACACCCAAAATTCATTTACTACATAAAAAATGAGTGTTGAAGTTCCTATAAATTACAAGACTGCCATTGATAAACTTAAAACAAGCCCAACACAAAAACTCAAAAAAACCCAAAATAAGCCCAGCAAGCCCGAAGTACATTGTTAATACCATATTATAGAAGTACATTGTTAATACCATGTCATAGAAGTACATTGTTCATACCATGTCATGTAAGTACATGGTTAATACCATTTCATACAAAAAATTCAAAAGAAATCCAAAAAAGCCCAACAAAACATCTAATATCCTTTGCAGAAACCACCTCCAATTGTTCATAGTTTCACCTACATTGTTAATACCATGTCATAGAAGTACATTGTTAATACCATGTCATAGAAGTACATGGTTAATACCATTTCATACAAAAAATTCAAAAGAAATCCAAAAAAACCCAACAAGACATCCGATATCCTTTGCAGAAACCACCTCCAATTGTTCATATTTTCACCTACATTGTTAATACCATGTCATAGAAGTACATTGTTCATACCATGTCGTATAAGTACATGGTTAATACCATTTCATACAAAAAATTCAAAAGAAATCCAAAAAAGCCCAACAAGACATCCGATATCCTTTGTAGAAACCACCTCCAATTGTTCATAGTTTCACCAGAAACAATCGCAAAGGCAAAAGAAAATACCTCTACAAGAAAAAAACAAAAGTACACTGTTAATACTATGTCATAGAACTATCTTCCTATTAAAAATCACATTATGCATATCATAAACTTCAAGTGCATAGCTATATATAGAGAGAGCAAAGTATAGAGCATGCTTTGTTACTGAAAATCTGTTAATACTATGTCATAAAAGTACACTATTAATACTATGTTATAGAAATCAACTCAATTGCAGGGTATGAACAGTATAACAACTGTTCATACCACTTACTGGAAGTTAACAACTACATCATTTAATTTGCATAATAGGTACGATAAAAGTGTAGAACTCCGTACCACTGAAAATCAATACTCAACAATGATAAAATTACAGAGAATGACCCCATCTCAACAATAGTTGCATGTCCTGACAAGGGAATTGCCTCAAAAGCATCAAAATGAAAATAATAAGTTATGTTGATCAGCATTCCCAAATTGTCAATCCTTCCATCTATTTCCAAGTCGACATATAAATTGTCTAAATTTCTTCGGCTAAATTATGCAAGTCCTTAATGAACTCAAAGAGATAAAAGCATTCCCAAAATTGCTCAGTACATATATATATATATATATATATATATATATGGACTAAAGGTAGACTTGGTTATGTCCAACCCAAAATTGCTCAGTATATATATTCATACATACATACATACTGATTGGTAAATTGTTAAATTAAAGGTAGACTTGACTTAAATTACTACATTCTCTTAAAAATTCAGCAGCAAAATCAATAGATAGAATTCTTTCTTAGGGTTGATGTGACACACCACACCCACACATAGACTATGAACCAGCAGAAGCATAATCAGCCACATTGCCCCAAGAAAATAAAACAGCCTCTTGATTTTATTAGATCGATGGACTAAACCCATTTCTACCCCAGAGACTTCTTTTAAAATTAAACAAATAAATAAATCTTTCAGGGATAAGCCCTAAATTACAGGACCGAAACCCTTAACTTCAAGCTACAATTGGTGTTTCAAGAGTAGTGGAAACATATGAACCAAAAACTAGAGTACTGATCACAACAGCTTCCAATTGGAGACATGCTTAATATAATATCCATATATATGTGAATTGATGAATTAAATAAACCTACTGGGGTGCTTCATTGTTCAATTCTGTTAATTGCAGAAGCAATCAGGGTCCATTCATCCCCATTCTTATAGAGGTTAAATGTATGAGATTTAGTTCAGATGTCATTAGAACAATTAAGACTTGTTGAGGATCAGAACAAAAAGAACAAGCCGACTTTTCTATAAAGATTAATTAACAATCAAAACTAGTCTGGAGTTTAAAGGGAAGGCCTTGAGATGTTACCTGCTTGTCATTATGTAGAGTAATTGAAGGGTTATCAGCGAGCAACAACTTATCCAGATATATAGATCCTTTTGCATGGTCTGCCTTGTCCTCATAATATAAAAGCTGCTTTGTATTAGGATCTATTGCCATAAACAACTCATCAGTGCCAAGTCGAGATTGGTGAGTGATCTGAGATCAAACCGCCGATAAAAGAATCGAAATTCTGGTTCGAGATCAACCGCCGATAGCCATTTTGCTCTGTACCTTTTGATGAAGCTAAAGCTCAAACAATCAACTGTTTCATCTCAACAAGCTCTCACACTATTTCAGAATTCAGAGCTCAGCAACCAAAGAACTGAATGCAAGGCAGGGAAACGACAGCATTTTCATGCTCTCAAAAGCTAAAATTGATTCCAAATAACTATACTATCAGCAAGAGCATGAGGAAAGGATTGAAATCCATACCTGGATCGGCGACAACGGTCGCCGGAATCGCCCAAAAAGGTGTCGGAAAACTCGAAACCCTCGAAGGTTCCTGGAGCTCGCGACGACGAAAGGAGGCTGGGCTCTCCGGGGCTGGGCTCAAGCGTGGTTCGCCGGCCTCCTCCTGTCATTTTCCGACCAGTCACGCGTCTAGCTGTGGCTGGAGCACCAAGATCGCTGGCCAAAACTAGTATATTAACAGTGTAGCCGATCAGCTTTAAATACAATATTTTAGCATTATAGCCGCAAGGCTCGACTCTATAAATAGAAATTATAAATGTACAGCCGAACGGCTATACTGTCTAATTACATTCCAATATTTTTAAATATATTCCAACGAACACCATAAGCTTACACTCGCAGAGGATGGAACTCTCTCTCGCAGTCACTGCTTCGTCCTCCGGGTTCGGCACCGAAAAAAGACCCAACACGCCTAGGCGCCCGCCTAGCTACTACCTAGCCGCCTAGCCACCGCCTAGCCTTCTAGCCACCGCCTAGCGACGGCCTTTTGAGGAAGAAGATGGAGGGCCAGGGGGCTCCCAAGCCATGCCTGAAATCGATTACAAGTCTTGGAATTTACCTGATAATGAATCTATCTCACTTTTTCTTCGCTTCTTGAAGCAGATGATGCAGGGTAAGGCCTCCCAAGCCTGCCACATCATCCCTGAAATTGATGTCTGCAAGTACGAGCCTTCGGATTTAGCTGGTAATCCATTAATCTATCTCACTTTTGCTTCACTACCCATTTTCTCATTTCCAAGATATGATTTTTATGCATGCATAATCTTGATCAATTGTTCTTTTGAAGTGTTGAACTGTTGTTATGTACTTGGGACTTACCTGACATAATCCATTTATCTATCTCACTTTTTCTTGACTACCCATTTTCTCATTTCCAATTTAAAATTTCTACGTATACATAATTTTGTTCAGTAATTTAGTTGAATTCTGTTATTCATTACTTCGAGACTTGAATTGGGTTTGTTTCAATATCTTGTTTTGTGTTGCGTTTTGCAGAACTCTTGTTCCCCGACTCTCCATATCAACCTACGATGTGGTTTTCCTTCAGCCGACCTCATTACAAATCCATCAACAGTCTTCGTTACAACAGGGCCACAAAGAAGGGATTCTGGAAAATCACAGGCAAGCCACGAGAAATCAAGTCTCAACAACTCTCCAAATCGGTCACTTGCAAAAAGAGGACCTTGACATTCCATGAAGGTCGTGTGTCTAAGTCGACGAAGACCGACTGGGTCATGCAGGAGTATTATCTCACTCAAACTGAACCGGGTTCTATTCCCAATCGGCTGAGTGACTTTGTTCTCTGCCGCATGAAGAATAAGTCAGCTCATTATGAGTCTGATAATAAGAAGCTGAAGGATGCTTCAATCTGTGATGAATCAGCTGATCCTGGTATTGGTGGCTACATGGCCTCAAATTCTGAAGATGATCAAGCTCCCGCAAATAATATGATTCCGGAGGCCGACAGACATCTGGCAGACAAAGAGCTAGAACATGATCTGCCTGGAAGTGGCAATCATGATGCTGGTGAACCTGGTGGCTGTGTTTCATCTGATTGTGATGATATGATTCAAGAGGTGAGAATGAAACTAATTTTTGAACATTTCTGATGTAAAATTGTTAGTAGGGAGCACAATAAGTATTTCTAAACTTAACGCTCGCTTGTTTGTGATTCTTAACCTGACAGCTAAGTGCTCAGCCAGGAGAATATCTGGATTTACCTTTTCCTCCACCTGAGCCACCTGAGCCGGGAAATGCTTCTGTGCCATCTCCAATTGGGAATAATGATTCTTCTCTTCCAAATAAGAATAATATTACAACCAATTATGACAGTAAACCAGTTAGCAACACCGCCTCTAATTTCGAGAATCAAACTAAAGATGAAAGGACTTCAGAGGTGAGAATGAACATGCTCTTTGAAATTTTCATATATGAACTTCTTAATATAGAGCACAAGAAGAACAACGAAACTTAACGCTTGCTTTTGATTCTTAATCCAGGTTTATTCTCAACCAGAAGAATATCCGGAATCATTCTTACAACTTAAGCTAGATGATTACACATGGCTTTCAAGAATATTGCAGCCAGAACCGGGAAATCTTCTGCATGCCAATAACTCTATTGGATGCAATGAGTTGCAATCTCCATATCCAGAGACTGCGGCTCTTTTCCCACAATCTTCTTGAATAACAAAAACATCATCGTATACTCTTTTCAATGACTCCAACCAACCAAAGTCATTGGGAAGGGTTTATGATGGGGATGGTGGGGTACAACAGTGAGACAAACACTAAAGTACTTCATGGAAAATATATTCTGCATTAGCTATTGGAAAAACACTCCAATATGGTTAATGAACCACAACATTTTATTTATGGGAGAATATCAAAAGAGACTTATAAACCATGAGCCCTTGTAAGAATGTGTCTCCAACTCACATTATTACAGACAGTGATATTCTCCTACAAATAATTCGAAGATTTTTCTAATAACTTCTTCGTAGTTTTGGACATTTATGTCCAAGACAAACGACACAAGTTACTAGTCTGTGACACACAGCAATGGTTTTGGGCAATTTGTCAAAATCGTTTTTGCGTGTGTAACTTGTTGGTACAAAGAAAGACCAGCAAATGCAAATGGTTGAAATGCCATCCAGAACTCTCTACCCTTCTCCGAATGCAACGAGTCCAGACAAAGTAAAGACGTCTTTTCTCAGAAGCAGTTTTTTTGGAGACGTCACTTCCTCTTCCTCTTATCAGCACAAACTAGAGATATTTCTCAGATCAGTAGTCTTCTTCAACTAGTATATCTATCCTACAAATTGAAGAACACGCAACCTCCATATCAACCAATATCCATTCATGTCTTCACTGCACCCATGGGAGATGCTCCGAGAAGAATCCGACTGCAGAGTGGCATCACAAGACAAGGTGAGAGAGA